ATCAATCATTCTCTCACTGAACACATAAATAAGAATACCAGGTGACAATTTTATTCACAAATAAAAAAGGTATTACAAAACTAAGAATAAGATAATTTACACATTTATAAATTCCAGTATGCAAAATAGCAATGATGAAATGTACATTGATTTACGCTATTTTAAAGCAAGGATGGTTTTCCTTTCCTTTTTTTTTTTTTTTTTTTTAACCAACACAGACAATAGTGCTTAACCTAGGTCATAGCAACATTAACACTTTATCTAAAGTAGAAAAATCTCTATTTAATCTAAAAAAATATATTCCATATACACAAAATGAGAAAATGCATGACCTTACTTGGTTGCTCCTGAAATCCTCCTCATCCTTGTCAACGAGCTTCTGCAGTCCGAGAAGCCACAGTGGTTATGCCCCTTCAGCCGCACGCATTACCCGACACGCCTTCCTGACATCGGCACTCTCGCAGCTGAGTTTATTGAGTGCTATGGGATAATTCCAACAAAGTGAAGTGTAAATTGGATTTTTTTTCTCAAATGTTGACAAAGTATAAAATATCACATTGTTGTATATTTCTAGAGTAGTGGGGTAAATGTCTTCATCTTGATAAAAGTTACACAGGATTTATCAGATTCAATAGCAAACGAAATCCATTTTCAACCCTAAGCAGCTCTCTGCTGATTGCAAATGATGTTTTGGGATTTTTGGCCAAAATCTCATTCCCATCAGTCTGGCTTTCTCCAGCCAGTGTTTGTCCTTGAAGTTAATCAGGGTTCTACATGTGGAAAATATATACAGGCTACACAAAGGAACACGGCCCTGCCCACTTTCATCATCTCTCTGTCATAACAGAAAGGACCAGATGGCAAATAGTGGCACGTATGTGAATCATGGTGAGGTCACGCGAGGAAACTCTACTTGCATTTTCACAGCCATTGTGTGGTCAAATCCTAAATATTTTACATGTCCAAAAGGCAATTTTCCTAAGCGTTCATACTACCAAAGGATCATTGGTTTATACTTAAAAAAAAAAAAGTAATCCAGGAAAAAATCAATCAATTATGACTAGGCACTAGGCTGACATGACAGCTTGGGGGCTACAATGAAACACTCATTTCCTATTTCAGGTGAGGGAATTGAGGTCACGAGATGTACCAGACACAGGCAAGCTAGTGAACACATACCAAAACCTGAAACTATGGAGAAAAGGCCACAAGAAAAAGGACTCATTAAATGTTACTAATCTTTCACAAAGAGAAAAAACCATGGGTAATACATGAGAAGATAAAAATGTCCTAGGAAAGACACATTTTAATATTCAGTTTAAATGTTAAAAGACAGTGACTTGGACAGGGCAATTCCAAACCAAAATATTGTAGCGCACTCGAACATACTGATGTTCAAAAGTCTAAAAAAATGCCCTGTTCAAGTAAGTCCTCTCCAGGGCATAAAGAGTAAGAGCAAATGAACCATTCGCTGCTTTGTGACTGAACGGGGTTCATTTCTGTCTTAGCTCTAGAGACGATGCTAGTGTGTAGATGGTAGGGGATAGAGCACCTTAATAGAAAGAAACTCCATCCTCTTAAATCCAACACCGGATGGCTGAAGTAGGAGACGATGTGCTAACTAATCTTACACGATTGGAAGGAGCACGACAACGTCCTGGTCAAACTACACTAGGGCAGTTACAGCTGCTTCATCTAAACCCCTACAAATGGAGCATTTTCTTCTAGTCCTAACGTGTGGTGTGTTCTCATGGAAGACTATTGCAGTAGTAGGGGAAGCTGCTATGCTGTAATTTCTAAAGCCTTTAGTATAAGATACAATGCAAGTAAAAGGTCATTTATGTTTATAAATACCCTTTTTCTATAATCTTCTAAGCTCAGGCAGAGGGACAGATGCAACAAATGTTTCTATATCAACTGATTTTCATATAAATATGCCAGCCTTTGCATACAAGTCTCCACAATATGTGTTAATTCCGGGCAATGGGCTGCCCTTTCTCAGCCACATTCCCTGGCCCTGGTGTGCTCCTGAGATCAGCACCAGCGGGTGTTTATGAGACCGAGGCTAAAGTGTGGATTCCGGAAAGAGCTATCCTCCTCTGTCTGATTCCTCTGATTCAGTTGACTTCATCTAATAAACCCAAGATTTAGGCAGGCAATATGAAGGCCATTCTAACCACCTACGCGACTCAGTTTAGATGATGAAAAAGTGTCCTTCTCAAATAGAAACACTCACTTTTGAACCCATTCTACATAAAAGCTAAGGTAATTTATCTGACATTTCATAGGCGGTATGAAATTATTTCTGGAAAGAAAAAGTATACTCTGGGTCTTCAGTCTTGTAAAACCACAATCACCATGAAAATAAGCATGAAGGCATTTCTGTTTCTTGTTATATGTCCACAATCTCATAGGCTGCCAACTCAACCCATCCTTCTTTGAAGTCACTTTTGTGGCAGAGAAGCTCCTTATGTAGGAAAGATGCAGAGTCTCATGAGTCGGGCTGGAATCTTTTCTTGTTATTCATTGAGGTTTCAGCTTACAGCTGGTTTGGCTCAGAAGCAACTGGCTGAAAGGCTGCAAATGCCGTCAGTTTGGTTCAGATTTATTTTTGCCCCAGAAGCCATGTAAGGTCCAGACTGCTCAGTCCATAAGCCTAACAAAGGAGTACTCTTTGGGTTCCAGCACACACTTCTACTGCAGAAAGAAGCAGGTCCTTTAAGCTTCCTAAAACAGCAACAGAAAGGAAGCTTTAGAGACAATGTCTTATAAATTAAATCTGCTAAATTTCAATGGTAAAGAATTATTATGCATAACTTTTACTAGTAGTACCCATGAATTTAATAGCACATGGACAAGAAACTCATTCAATAGTATCCAAATATCCAGCTACCCGTGTAATCTCAGGATAAAATAAAGGTTTTCATAACAATTCATAGTCACCCAATAACTGCAGAGTACTTAAAAGACGATACTGTAACCCATAGCAATCATAATTTATTAACAAACCATTCTTCTGTGGGCTTTCAACCTTATTCAAACATTTAAAGCTTCTTTCTTCTGTACTGTGTTCCTTTCAAGCATTTGTAGGTAAATATTTTAGGATTCTGTATTTCCTTTCTTTCAAAGAACAAATATGATGAATGAATAGTGCCATTCTTTATCTGCCAACTTAGTCTTTGAATGTAAAACTTCCATTAAACTATTAGAGAACGTTCAGAAATAGTTGGGAATAAGATTTATCTTATAACAATCTCCCTAGCATACTCACAATCCTTATCGGGAAAATATCCTCAGCAAAGTATAGCCATTAGACGTGTCCTTATCACAAAGGGTACTGACCTCAATGCACGAAGGTTGCAAGTGAAATCACTGAACATTTACTTCATGTATTAACCCTTCACCAACTTACCACGAACTTGGCATTGGTGACATACCAGATAAGTGTATGCAAAAAATTATTCCTAGGTCTAAGGAGATTATCTAGAAGTCAAATCTTATGAAATACTTCCAATAACAGGAGATAGTTTTATCAAATACGTTGGTTAACTGACATGGTTATAATAACTACATTAACCCGTCTGTGGGAGGCAAATTATCCTCATTTTGCCGATAAGGAAAAAGTAGAGATTTCAATCGATTGAAACACTAGAACCCAGGGTCCTCTCATGTTTCCTAACCTTCTTTCTGTCTGTTCCTGTTGACATCTTAAATGTTGGATTAAAAACAACTTCAAGAAATGCTTTTCCTGTAAGTACACAGGCTGGCTTTGTTCTCTCAAATAGCTCAGCAAAAAATGTTCCAACTATCTCAGTTTTGTTCCCTTCTGGAACATTATCTGGAGAGATGTGTATAGGAAAAACTTGATTCAAATCGAGGCATACAAACTCAAGAAGGCTCTCACACCTATTTGCTTTATCTGGAACCATAACTATCATGAGATTATGGGTGATCTTAAATCACCCACAAGAAAACTAGTGTGTGCAAATGCAGGTTTTGGAAACAAATGCATCATGCGTTGAAATCATGGCCTCACACCACGTAAAGAGAGAAGTGCTGTTTGGCCACAGCTGCTCCTTATCCACCTCCCAGATGGACACACGTTGTTTTCCTGAGCTACGAGCGAGCTCACATCGTGGAGCCAAGCTAACTGAACACGAACCTGTGGAATGGATAAAATTAACGCGAAGCCCTGTGCCTATTTGGTTCATCATAGTGAGCTGCTGAAATCAAATTATTGTATTTTGTGTTTTAAGAGACAGGGTCTTGCTTTGTTGCCCAGGCTGGAGTGCAGTGGCGTGATCCTAGCTCACTGCAGCCTCAAACTCCTGAGCTCAAGTCATCTTCCTGCTTCAGCCTAAAATCAAATTCTTTATGAGAAGTGAATGTGTCCTCTAGTTGGAAAATTAGCCTGTTGGGGAAAATGTGGGTTGGTTTTTTGAATTTAGATTGGGGAAAAAAAAACAAAACAAAAGCAAAACTACTTGAGTTAAACACTTGGTGGAAATAAAGAGGAGGACCACGCCCCCAAAGGCCTGCAGTAGCTTAAGGTTCATTTGCTACATTTCACAGATTATTAAGTGCAACTGAAGTTTTTTTTTTTTTTTTTTTTCCAGCATCTGGAAATTATCTCTTAAAATAGGCTCAAAATATTATTTCCTATTATAGGGGAAAAATCAAAATGGTCTATATTTTAACAATTCCTTTTTTAAATTCAATGTCATCTATCTAAATTAATCTAACAATTATAGGACTACACATCTTGAAAAGTTAGTAAAAACCTTTCATTAATAAATTATTATGCTGTGCAACTTGAATGTAATATTTTCTCATCAGGTTCAGTTTAGATGTAATTGTAACTTTCTTTTCATAATGATTTGAGTTGAAAGTATATATAAATCATGAGAACTACCCTGCATGTCTTTGAAAAAGAGTTAATAAGTCATGATATGCCAATCTCACCACCTAAAGCATGTTTCTAAAATATCATGTCCACACAGCTGTGATGACAGTGCTTACACGATCCTGTCCCCACCGCACCAACATGCACAGACATAAGCAGGCAATGAGGTGGCTCCGGGATGACCTTGTATGAAGATGTTCCCTGCCTTAGTCTCGGCAATGGACATCACAAACTTGGGAACAAGCTACAAAATTAAGGTGAGTGGTAATTCTGTTTCCTGACAAAATTCTGAAAACCAGTCATTGTCAGCTGGCAGCACCGTAGCCCTAGTTGCTCAGACGGTCTAACAAGAGAGGCACGGACGGTGCAGTAGACGTGGCGAGGGCCCCTCATTTAGTGCTGCTGGGGGGCAGCTGGGCCCTCTGCTGCTGAACAGGGGGGTCCCCCCGTTTCCAGCATCCTCCGATCCGTCGGTGGATGCTCTCTGCTGTGAAGGGCTCGTTACATGCTCTCGGCTGCTGGGCCCTCTCAGTTCCTACGCTGTGTGGGGCACAGTCCATTCTCGAGACTTACACTCAACTAGGTTAATTCTTAAGTCTTTTCTTATTTCTTATCATAACAATTTTACTAATTATGGATGGCTCAAAAGAACAAGACCAGTGAACAGCCTTTCCTAACTCCAGGCAAAGCTCAGAGGTAAATACTTTGTATGTGTCAACTGCCTAATTTGTTTTCCCTTCATTCACTCATCTCCCTTCTCTTACTTCTCCATTCCCCCATTTTGAGAACAAAACCAATTTTTTCCCCTCCAAAGCTAAAAAATGTTTTCTCTATAGAATCCCTTGTAAATTCTCCAGATAATTTTTTTTTTTTGTAGTTAAAAAAAGCAAACAAGGTGGAAAGGTGGCTTGAGCCCGGGAGGACGAGGCTGCAGTGGGCTGTGATCGCTCCACTGAGCTCCAGCCTGGGCGACAGAGAGACCCCGTTTCAAAACCCAAACACGAAAAACAGAGAACAAGTACTGCAGACTTAGATCATATGTAACTTATGAACTGATCTTAAAAGGAACACATCAGCATTCACACTTTGACTGTGCACTAAGTCTCTGATATAATCAGGCCAGCATACAGAAGCTCATGGAAGCGAGACGCCTCTGGAGCAGGCTCAGCTGCCTCCTCCGCACCCACAGCCCTGATCTGGGGCAGGGAGGGACAGGCAGTGACAGCAGCGGCCTCTTTGTGGGGCAGGGTCTTGTGGGCCTGGGAGCTGGACTGTTGCTGTGACTCTGCCCTTCTACACTCAAGGCTTGACACTTTTCTTCTAGAACTTACACTAACAATACATGCGCTCCCATTTAAGGAAATGTTTACAAACATGAGGTCAAAATCAGCAAAGGCCACGTCCTCACCTGAAGAAAGCAGAGACGTGCCTGGTTATCCCAGAATCCCTTGCTGCCTCCAGGTCCGCAGCATGCAGAAAGCCCCATCTCTGCAGGTGCCACCCTCGCTCCACCCAAACCTGATTTTAAACCACTCCGCCTGAGAGGGTCTTATGACCCGGTCTCCGGTCACAACCAACAATCAATTTCCAGCCAAAGCAATCAATCTGTCAAAGTAGAGGGATCCAGAAAACAATAGCAAGAGAGAGAGAAGGGAAAAGAGCAGCTTTAGGAGACCTAAATTCACAGAGACTTGGCAGTGAATGAAGTACATTGAAGTATTGGGCATAAGTAATAGATATATAACTATATATAACAGGAAGAAGTGAAGGTCAGGAATTGTCGCAAGATGCTCCCACATGCCTCTCTCTCCACCAGGGAAGGAGGCAGCAGGTGCTGTGCTAAGTGGTTGTACTTACAAAGAACACAGCTGTACACTTTGCTCTTATATATTAGCTGTGTTAGTTTTTTAAAAAAAGACTTGAAATTTATTTTAAACATATTCTACAACATACAAGAAATGATGAAAGATGCAAAAAAAAATCTCATGAGGTTCCCCCTAATTTTGTGCTGGGAACAGCGTTCTGGTCTACTGTAAGTCAGTGCTATGTTCACAGGGAACCCAGTCGTTGCCTTACCTGGAGGGACGTCTGAGTGGCTGCGTGGATGACAGCGCCACTCTCCTGATCTAGCTGGCTTCTCGTAGTTGGTGCATCCTGAGTTGATGCTGGTTCTGCCAGTGTGTTGTTACATCTAGATAAATCAGCAGCTGCTGTAAAGTTTTCAGAATGAGCTTGGATTGGAACAGCCCCACCAACCAAATCTTGACTGCTATTTGAAGCCAAAGACGTTGAGCTTTCATGTTCTGGGCTGAGAGAAAGAATGTCTTCTCCAGTGAGTTCAGGATAAGAGTCACAAAAAGAGATGTTGTCACCACCCATGGGATTCTGCATCAGAGGCCAGGCGTCTGAAAACTCGCCACAGATGGACCGCGTGAGGGACCCGAAGAAAGTTGGCACCATCTCCCCGGCTGGGCCTGCGTTTCTGCACACACATTCAAAAGAGCTTAAAGTCTGTAATGGGGAGAAAAACACTACTACAAAGAAGCATGTCAGCCATAATGTTAGGTCTTCTCGATGAAATATCTAGATACTAAATCAGAATTCTAGTGTTTCCTATTGTTATAAACTTGCCTCAATACAGTAAGTCAAATTACTCCATTTAGTTGAAAACTGAGTTTTGACCCCTCCTTCTAATTAATATAGTTACATTTAATCCAACGTCTAAAACATGCAGTTTCCTGTTTAGACAGGAGGACAGTTTAGACAGTTTCTAACGTCTAAAACATGCAGGGTCTCGTCTGAGTTTGATTGAGTGCTGTTCTAAAATTCTAAAATAATAGTCCATGGGTAAAAATTACTTACATGTTAATTACAGATGACAGAGGTGTCAGAAATCATGGACATAAGACAAAAATAAAATTAATGAAGAGTAAAGTATAAAGAATGTTGTACTGGATACGAGTGACCTTGAGAGACCTACCTAATTCTTGCCTGAGAATTGCACCCCACCAATATCCAGAACGTCATTAGTATTTAAGAGGTGATGTTTCCATCGTTTCAGATGAAAATCAGTACATTAGTAGAATGCATATTTGCACAGGCAGATATGAAATGATTGATTGAAAGCACCCAGTTACCTCGCCTGAAGACTGGCCGCAGAATGCACCCCACAACCAACAGTCGCCCGGTCGGGGCTGCAGGCCTTGTCACAGCACAAGGATGGGAGCAAGTGCACCGGCCCTAGGAAGACAGCACAGGTGTGAAGCATAGTGCCTCCCTCCGGCAGCTTTCACTTCAGTAACACTCAATACTCCTCCTGGAAACTTAGATGTTCCCCTTTGGGTGACTTTTGGGGGAAAAGGAATACAAGGTTCTCTTTTTTTCTCATCTTAAACAAATGATGAGCCACTTACCTAAGGTACCGAGAGTAGACAGACTCATACAGACAGATGAAGAAGGGGGAATGCTAGGGGGCTGGGGCAATGGGGAGACCAGGAGCTGTTGTTTAATGGAGACAGGGTTTCAGTTTGGGAGGATGAAAAATGTTCCGGAAGGTGAATGGTGGTGATGGTTGCAATGCAATGAGAATGTACTTAATGCCACTGAACTGCACACTTGAAAATGGTTAAGATGGTGAATTTTATGTTATGTGTATTTCACTACAATAAGAAGTGGGGAGAAGGAATAAAGCAGTCTGTGGGAGAGCACAAAACGAGACTCTTGGCCCCACTGAGGACAGGAGGAGCAGGACAACTTTTCTGCTGAGTGGCCTCCTAACACAGACGAGAGCGTGCATGTTCGAACCCTCTAACTCCATACACACAGACACACTTCTTTTTATTGCTAGCAATGTCACTTAAGGAATAAGTAGATATGTGCACAGCTTTACAAACCGAATATATCACTGAAGCTGGATATATTTTGTGCTACAAAGATAATATAAGCTTAAAAATCTAAAATATAAAGAGATTAGATAAGAAATTTAAAAATAAATCTTCTCAATCCTATAAGCAGAAAATAAACACTCATCTTTTTGAACAGCCTTCTTGATTTCTCACTCTGTCTATACATATATATATCATTCTGATTTAGAACCACAAACACACTAAAGCGCACGCGCACACACACACACACACACAGACTCACACACATACACAGAGGAAGACTTGGAGAAATTATATATTTACATATATAGCTATCGAAGAAATTATACATTTACATATATAGCTATATGTTTGTGTGTATCCAAATTTTCCATGAGGAATATCTCTTTACTTTTACAAACAGGAAAAAAATTATGAAACTACAGTCTCCCTTTTAAAAAATGAATGCCAAATATTGAGATGCAATCGCAAGCCTGTGTGAAACAGGATGACTGGCCTGCCTGCATGTAAGTGTCCCTCAAAGCAAGGCCTCCGCCCGGACCATCTAAACATACAGTGCTCTGAACCCGCTGAACTCACCGGGGTTTGCTGCCACTTAACAAACGTGTGTCACGCTCACCATGGGACATTTCAAAATTGTTTTAAAGCAAAAGGCACTGCCGTTCCTTGTAGAAAGGCTGATTCCAGGGAAAGTACACGACAAATCTGGGACTTCTGGTGGCAGAAAGTAAGAAAGTGCTAAAAGAATAACGCGGACCTGTCAAAATGGCACATGAGCCACACCGAAGGGACTTCCAAATGCCAGGCAACGTGAGCATCGGAATCAACAGTGACACCAAAGGGTTGCAACCCACTGAATACAGTCCACGAGTCTCAACTCACTAAGGTATATGAATAAAGAAATGGAGAAGGAAAGTTCCTTCTTACCATAGGAAGCCAACTAATAAATGTGGAAAGAATAATGCAATTAGAAAGCCAGCATTTGTTAACCATCATAGTCACGACTGATTCCAGTACGAATCATCAGAGCACGCTAAGCTACGGGGTGAAAGTTTGGGGTGTGACGGGATATTTACACAGTCTCCAAGTATCCCCTACAGTTTATTTATTCATTACAAAGAGAATAGCAGACATTTTACACTGGAGAAACCTGGCAGACACCCCGTTAATGAAGTGACCAAGGTTAGCCTGACCAGGCATAGGCCAGACAGACAACCTCGCCTCCTGACACACAGCACTGAGGACCTAGCATCCCCTCAGCAGCATTTTTGAATCGAATCCTGAGGAATGTCAGACAAACCCAAATTGAGTGTCGTTCTACAAAACTGTAGAATTTTGAAAAGTGCTGGCCTGTACTTTAAAAAAAAAAAAAA